TCTCATTTGTATAATAAATCCAATTACTATTACCAGGTTGGTTACTTTACGAATAGGTTGTTTGACTGAAAAAGTGGTGTTCCTTAACCCTTCCTACACAAAGTTACAGTAGCATAACCACAGCTACATGAAAACCTGAGTCAGTGCACAAGAATGTACTGTAGTCTACTGTACAGTGACATGGAGAACACCTCTTCATTCCACATCTAAGAATGTAGAGTTAGTAACGCACACAAATACGCAAATCACATGAAATCATCAGAGCTGCGGCTTTAAAAATGCAGAGGAAAAAAATTTTCTGCTTAGCTTAAAAAGTTTAACATTTTCTACTGATACAGACAAAAGACTTCCCTTCGCAGAAACACTTTCCAAAACCACTATTTTTTTTTTTGTTTCTACTTTCAATACCAGGTTTGCAAAGAAAGCAGCATTTTCTGTGCGGGGGCTGAGCGAGGGTGGAAAAGCACAACACTTTAACTTCACCCACAATTCAAATCTTAAAAGCACTAATAATAAAAACAATTATAAGTGGCCACCAAGGCAACCGAAGAAAACTGACCCAACAAAAGCTGGGATTGTTCCACCAAAACGGTTGTTCCTGGTGGATGAGGGAAGAGCTGGATCACTCCACATTTGGGGACTCTAGTGTTGAAATCTCTGTGCTCAAATTTTCAGGTATGTTGACTGCTTATGGCCATTACAAAGTGGTCTTAATCTTCCTGTTGGTTTTTTACATTTGTGATACAGCAGAATTAAAAAGAAACTGTGGGCATATATTGTCTGGTGTGCGGTGTTAACTTGTTCAAATAAAATGGCCTTCCTATGCACCAGAATGGACCAAAAATACGACATGTAGCATTTTCCACAGCATTGTAATTATTATTATACAAGATTTATATAGCGCCAACAGTTTGCGCAGCGCTTTGCAATATAAAGGAAGACATTACAAGCCCTCCTCACCATCTTGTCTTGTATTGTATTGTGATTGTAATGTCTGCCCTACATTGTAAAGCGCTGCGCAAACTGTTGGCACTATATAAATCCTGTATAATAATAATAATTACAATCACAATACATTTCAAGACAGGATGGTAAGGAATACATTTATAGCGCTTCACTGCAACACAAAGTGCACAGCGGCGTAGTGGTTAGCACATCTGCTCCATACCATTGAGGTCCACGGTTCATATCATGGCCAGGGCACTATCTGCATTTGAGTGTTCATGTACACAAACAAATATCCTCTAGAGATCAGAGCATACCGGTATTAACCCCTTTAGTATAGAGTGCCTGTCCACATGGTCTGTAACCAAGAATACATTCTTGGTTACGCGTCTGGGACGAGCATGCTCGTCCCAGTCTATCAGTAACCTCTGTGGTCGGTTTTGCGTCTTCACCGACAATTCTGTTTTAGGTTCTTTTGAGCTTGTGTGTGTGTATTTCCTCAGGAGTACTACAATTTCCTCCACATTCCAAAGACATACGGGTAGGATAATTGGCCGTGGTGTGTGTAAGGGCATGTCCAATAGGGGCATAAAGTGTTGGCACTAAATAGGACTAAATGGGCCCTGAAATATGACTGGAACAGAGTTGGGAACTAAAGCATGTCCCACCAAGTAAGCACCATTTATTTCTCTATGCATCTCAAAAATGTAAATATCAGTTTTGGATGGAATACACATTTTACACTTAAGGAAAACAGCAGCAAATGAAAGAAACTTTTTCATCAGTTAATATAGCATCCCGTCACATCCACTAAAAGTTGCTCAGTGGAGGAAAGCTTAAAGGTAACTGTTGCTTGTAAACCGACATCCCACACGTCTGTGTTCCATCCATCTGCACCGAATATCCAACCCCTAAAGTCAGTGAGAAACCTCAAAAACGACTGCAGTGGAGACGTCAACAGCACTGCTGGACCATAAAGCAGCAAAACTGCTACAGTGAGTTTAGTTTAAAACGTTATGTTAGTGTTATGAGGTTAGGTACAAGATCAAGGTTTTAATGAGGTTACATGTATATTAACAATTGTTGGGAGGTAAAGCCAAGAGTTAAGGACTCATTTTAGTGGTTTGGTTAAAGCAAACCTATGATTAGCCCATGCAAGTCAAATTAATAGGTTCACTTAAATTTCCCCAGGCTCAGCTTCACAATCTTATTTCCCAGGAGCGAAGAGAAATATCTGGTACTTCCGAGTGTAGTAGATCATGTGACTCACTCCCTTTACTCCAACGTGACAGTGCTGGTGCTTAGCAATTGGCTGTCCCATGGGGGTGAAGAGAGTCCTTATCCCTAGAAGAATCGAGTGCTAAACTGAAATTAAAGCCAAGAGTTTTAATGCCATTTAAATCACTTACAATGGATGCTGCTTCTTGATATTTTAAAGTCTTAGTTTCCGGCAAAATCAGCTGGCCCTCTGAGCACTGGCCCTGATACCCCGTTTTAGAGTGGCTCCTTTCCTTTGCAGGGTCCTATGGTGCCAAGCTCGTGTTTGCTATGAGCTGTGTGAGTCCCCACAAACACACAAGTACAGTGAGCCAAGCCACTTCCCTACTTCTCCAAGCTAGTAGATGCACAGTTGCTGGAGTCTGCAATATTCCTTGTGGTCTTGAACTGAACAGGAAGTTCAGGGAAGCGAAGCTGAGAGTAGATGACTAAGCGCTTGGGCACAATTTTAAAGTAATACTATGCTGGGCAATGTATAATTGTTTGATCAAAGATGCATTATTGAGAAAAGTTTGAAAGTTTAATGCTACTTTAAGGGGTCATCCAAAATTAGAGACACTTGGAGAGATTGTCATTTACCTGTTACAATATACCAGTATTGGACTCCCAGAATCATAAACAAAAACACAACATATGAAAGTCTGATAAGTTAAAAAGGTTTGCAATCTACATAACTAAGAAAAAAAGTTGTCTGATCCAGTAGACCTTAGCCAGATCTGGCAATGATTGTCATGTCTTTGGAAGGCAGCAGATTTTCCCTGTCAAATTGAAGAGAATGACAGATTAGCATTTGTACAGTGATTTTTTTTGTCCTTTTACTCCCAGTGTTTCTCAGTATCAGCCTGCTATGGGAGGTACCTGGCCAGCTGATGAGTATGTACTGTACATTTAGACAACACGAGTGATAATTATAAAAAGTAAAATAGCTCTAAGGCAAGATTGTACCAGCACATAAGCACAGTGGACTTATTCAAATTACACAGCTGATGTCATTTCTTATGAAGCACTACACTGCTAGTTATAATAGGATCTTTATCCTTGAACATGTAAAGAATGCAGCAAGTCAGTAGTTGCCAACATGCCTATAATTATTATTGTTGAATTTATACAGTCTCTGTATCATCACTCTACATTAATTGAAGGAACACACACCCACAAATGTCTAGCTGATGTACTGTAGCTTTAATAACTGGGAAACAAAAAGTACAAAATGTTACACACTAGAACACCACACCTCACGCATGTGGCAAGGCTGCTCTACCAACCCACGCCCAGCTTCACCTCATTATGCACGGTCTTCAGCATTATGTGATGATTAACCTTCATGAAATGACCAAGATACTGTGTATAACTAGTACATTGTGTCCTTTTACAGTTCCCAGCTCCCTATGATTAAGACCTGGAAGTTTGTTCAGTTTATCTCGGTTGTGACACTTTGTACTGTACAAAAGATGTGTTAATACTAGATCTGGCACTATGTATAGCTCATGTGTGGGAATAAAAAAAATGGTACCCAACATCAAGCCATTTACTCTTTTTTCAAGCGTATATATACACACACACATATATATAGTAGTCAAGCGTAAACTTTTAAACTTTAAAGATGAACTCCGGGCACAAACTTCATTTAAATCTATTATTTAACGGCCACAAAGGATATAAATCCACTGGGTGCACTAAGTGCAAGCCCAAATACAATCTCATAATAAGTAGCATTAACATTACTGAAATGCATTATGGAAAGAGTGGGGAAACTGCATAAAATACAGTATCCTAAGTACCACACCCCTAAATAGTTATTACTTCATCCATACAAATTATTAAACAGGGTTTTGATGGGGATTCTGGGCTGCCATTTAAGCTCTGTTTAATTATTTGTTTGGATCATTACTTTACTGCACATAGTCCATGTAGAGAGCAAAGTTGTCAGCTGAACCCAGCAGGTCCAACCAATGCAGGCTGCCTGAAGGAAACAACAAGAAAGGGGCGCACAGACCAGTCACCTTGTACAAGGCAAGTTGGCAGCAGTAACTGGTCTTTATCACAGGAAGCTACTGCTGAGAGGCAAAGTACAGGAGTTGTTTTTTGCTGGGTTAGTTCACAGATTTGGAACAAATACGTAAAGGATAACTGTAATCAAGTAAGAATATACATGGATTTTGCATTTAGTCTTTTTTTTTTTTTTTACATGGGTTCCAGCTTTAAAAACATAAACTATAGTATTGTGTATAGTCAAAAAACATTTTTTTTTAGTTTAAGATAAGGGTAAGGAAGTAAATAAACCCTGCCAGCTTATTTTCCAACAGGAAGTGAGAAAATAGTTGGAAATACCCTCTTAGTTGGCCACACTAAAGATTTACCCCCACTTCCTGTTTTGGGGACAACTGTCAAATTCTGGTTTTGCCATCACTCTCTGTATCGGGGATAATGGTCACCAGGACAAAACACACACCACACTTTTCAGCTATAGATATACTTTAAGCCACAATCAAGCCCAAACTATTTTATTTTAGCTTTAGAGAGACTTGGGAGGATTAAATACTCATATCAAGTTTTTTTTTTGCCATCTGTGACCTAACTGGGCAGATTTCACACTACTTCCTGCCCCTATCACAAGAAATGACAGTAGCGGTTGTCACTGGCACAGAAAAGAGAAACACAGTAATAACCTGAGGTTATAACTCTTTCCCCATTTCCTGGGAAAAAAGAGTGTTTGACGAATTTACCAAGTTAAATAACTTTTGAATTATTTTAATAGACTTAATAAATATTCTTACCTGTGATGTTCTACAGATTCATTGTCTGGGAGGTTCGCACCACACACACTGCAGCGTTCACCGATGTTTCTACCGTCATGCTTCATCCCCGCTGCAATTTCACCTAATTTGCTGAAGAGCTCTCGCTGAATGAAGCCTTGCGGTAGAAGTCCACCATAAGTACTGAAGTCCATTGACACAGCCAGGGCTGGCTGCATGTGAAGAGCAGAGGCCATGGATGTTGGCACACTAATCATAGTCTCCCCCTTACGATTTGGGAGGACGGAGTACACGCTAAGCTGTTTCTCGGCATGGGAGAGGGCATGCTCTTGCCCGAGACTGAAACCCTGACCTAACTCAAGAGCTTGTTCTGGAGCAGTCTCATCACGATTAAAGGTAAGATCTCGAGCACTTGTGATAACACTACTGCGGGTTGGGGTTCCTGGGCTCTCCTTGCTTTTATCATCAGACTTGTCCCCACCAGATCCACTGGTTTCTGCTGTTGGGCTATCTTGGTTAGACACCTCATCCACCTGCATGACTTCTGTTTTCACCTCAGACAGACTTTGAAGTCTGCTTGTGGAGTGCAAATCTAGTGCATTTTGTTGCAGTGCTCCTTGAAGCAATGACTGGCCAATAGTCATTAAACTATCCACAGCAGTCTTGGTTGGGCTCATGCCCGAAAGTCCATAAGACGTTGACACTGATGGACTTTGATCCACCAGACTTTGATTACCCATACTGGAATAACCACTCTCTTCACTGGAATGCTTTGCGTTGTTTAACATATTTTTTATATATCTTGATTTTCTGTCTTCTTCATCATCCATGGCCTTCTCACCTGTACCAAGTTCACCATCATTCTCTTCTGAAGCTTGTATGGTTTCTAAGATCTTCAGACACTGCTCCTCTAAATACTCTATTTCTAGAATTTCTGCAGCATACAGGAGATCATCCAAATCTTCCACCTTAGCTTGCAGAGTGGCAGTGTAAGCATACTCCAGAATCTGTTGAAAAGTCTTTGGCGACAGAAAGTCCAAAGTGTAATGTTGGCTGCTACGGTGGAAAAGGATTTCAAACATCTTACTAGTACAAGCCAATACTGTCCTATGGGCATGAAACTCTTGAGTATCCACCATAATCACCACATCACAGAGAGTCCCAGCCAACCGCATTTGGTTGGCTTTCAGGAGAAGGCCCGTGGGGTGATTGGGGTTTTGCAGCTGTATCATACCCATATTAGTCAAATCCATACTGCTCCGGGGGTCTAGTCATTAGTATGTTTGTTTCTTCTTCTGGAGGGCTGAACACTGGAACCAGATGACCTGTTGGAATAATCAAGAGATTTTTTTTATAATAAAAAAAGATTGCTTTAATTTTTTTTTCTTACATTTAAAAAGTTAGAACATTTGATTTTAAGAAGGTTATTCCATAGTTTACATTAACAAATACCTTAAATGATCATTAGAGAATATACAAAACACATTATATCACACAGATATACACACACACACACCTGAACCTTTTCAGCTATCTGGTACTGCAGACCAGAGAGATCTTCCAGAGTTGCTATCTGCCTCTTATGGACATTATAAAGCCAAGCAATCTAGTCATTACTCCTAAATAGGAGCCTCCAGTAATACATGTTAAATACCTTGGAAATGACTGCAGAAAAGGTCAGCAACTGAAAGTCAAGTCACCAAGATATGCAAGAAGGTAGCACCTCCTTCAGCCTGACATGATCCTCCCAGAACTAAAATATCACTTGAAATGACATATGACGGTTCCCATGTTTTGACAGCCCGGCTGCTCGTTAAGAGTTGCTCACGTTTAATAGGCTTTGTACTTTGCCATTACTAGGCAATCAGCATATGACAATTTACATCCAAATTTCTACAACCCAGGTTCCACCAAGGTTCTTGCTCGCACAGTGACCATACTCTAAAATAAGACAGGATATTCTCAATTTAATGAATTGTTATATCTGCCTAGATAATGGGGTCTTCATACAAACTTGTTAAAAGGTGTATGTATGTATGTATGTATGTATGTATGTATGTATGCATGCATGCATGTATATATTAAAAAAAAAAAATAAGACAAAATTAAGATTTTATATTACTTTAATGCAGTCAGGATGCATATATAAGAATGTTTTTTTTGTTTTGTTTTTTGTGTGCAGTGGACCAGGTCTCCAGCAGTCCAGCTGCTCAGAAAGCATGATCACTACTGATTGGAGCACTGGGCAGAAGTCTGTCAGACAGTGGCAGACGAAGTCCACCATGCTCCATGTTGAGCAGTGGTCCGACTCTCTAGCATGCTGCTGTAACAGGGTGTTGTAACCCATACTGCATCACAAAAAGTTACATTTAAAAAAAATAAAACATACTTATTTACCACCAGTTTTGAAGCTTGATAGCATTGTCGTGATACACATGGTAGCATCAAATGAACTTTAATAACTTTAAAGTATCTAAAGCCCAAACTTTCTTTTAAAGTTGGATAATGTGGCGAGTGGTTAGAGACCTCTGGCAGGTTTAGAATTGCATTCCATTTCCTCGTTAAGAAAATCACTGGTGGCCACTGACTTAATATAGAGAACAGAATTTTGAGTTGCCACAGGAACAGAAGGGACATCTTTCAATGGGGACACTTTTCAATGACAACTGTGTAAGATGGTATTTGTGGAGAGATTTGCCCCCACTTCTCAATTTGTCTGCAGGGCAGTAAATGAAGGTAAACCTCCCCAATGAAACACAGATGGAAAATTATTTAAAAAAGGGGGGGGGGGGGGAAGCCATACAGTACTCCATCCAAAATGGGTGGGGGGACTTTAGGCATTAGATATATGTTAAGGTTTATGCGAAGTGTGTTAACATGTGCTATTTGGTATGGTTGACAGACCTGCTGCAAATTTCCCATTATCCTCCTCAATTCAGAGTCACTATGTAATCTGAAATGGTCATTTTCTCTTTCCAAGACAAGCATGTTCAAAAAGAAACCCTAGTTAAGCTCTGTGAAGTCTGACCTTAGAGTCAGTGTCACATGATAGAATTTGAAGATAGTACAGCAGACATAAAATGTGTTGAAGGACAGGGGTTGGGGAGTTCTGGTAGATGCAACAGATTCACAGGAAGGAGAGGTTAGCAAGTGGAGTTCCACAGGGATTTGTGATGGGAGCAATGATGTGTAATGTCTTCATTAGCGATATAACAAATGATTGAGAAGGAATGTCTCCCTTTTTTTAGGCCAGTGACCAAATCCTTTACATTTTAGGGAGGTTAACAAAATGAAACGTAGCCAGATACAAGCAAGTATTCAGCACTGATAACGCAGTTTTTACAATTACCATCTATATACGCCAACTGTAAAATGTGTACAGTAAGGCCCCGTTCACACCAAGGCAGCATCGTTTTTGCGCATTTGCACGTGCGGGTTCAGCATGCGTTTTTGCACTTTTTAGGCATGTGAAAAAACACATGAAGACATGCGTTTTGACTGACAGCTCATGAAACATTGCAGTCAGCATACAAACCAGCATGAAAATGTGCAACATGCTTCTGCCGTGCCTTTTCATTGTGCTTTTTTTCTGCGATTAGCGTTTTGCTGCTCAGGTGTGAACAGGGGCCATTGAAAATTATGGAATTTCTTGTGTCAGGCATTTAAAAGCGCTTTTCTTACTGCTAAATGTGAACCAGGCCTAACCACAGTAAATTTTAGGCTAATAATAGACAATGTCTATTAAAAAGTAACTGGTAAAGCTGGCAGCTTTACCAGTTACTTTTTTTTCCCCCCAATTCTATCATATTGCCTGGGTAAAAAAAAAGCGATATTTGCGACAAAGCTTATTCACAAGATTGTGTTGGACTGGATGCCATGTGAACTAAAAAATCCTGCATGTATCATTTTCATCTCCTATATAAATCTATGGCAGTGCTCACAAAAGGCTTCAAATCACATTACCTGTTACCCCTCATTTACATTCACACAGTGATGTGTCATTTATGAATGAGAACTTCCTACATGTGCCAGGTCCAAAGACTTTTGTAAATTATGTAATCTAACAGGACCATTTTTTTTTATAGCATAGAGGATTGCAATGTAGCACTGGCTGCATTTTTTAAAACATTTAAAAACACTTGCGAAAAGAAAAAACGTTTCATTGGAGTATATATTGGAAATGTTTGGGGTATTATTCTTTCACTATCAGAAAATTCCTGTGGGGTCTGTTGATGAGTGTTTATTTTTGTTAGCGTAGTTTGGAATGCTTTATTCTACACAAAATAAATGGACTCCCCATCATTGCAGGTTGCTAGCAGAGACTGATTTAATCCACTGAGCCTTTCATCTGTAGGGGCTTATTTAATACCGGTGCAAACAGCAGTAATGTGTTAAACTGCCAATCAGAAATCATCTTTCTATCAGTGTAGTTTGTGTAATGAGACTCCTACCAGGACTCAAAGCAAACCTGTGACAGGGACCAGCACTGCTTATCCCCATTTAAAATTACTAATCACCCATCATGCCAGTTCCCTGACTTCAGTAACTGTCAATTCGCTAATTTGCATGCAAAATTAAGACAGAGCTCCTTATCTACATACTTGTTCTGACAAATGACAATGAAAGCATTGAAGTCAAGGGATCAAAATGACAGAAAGACAATATTTTGCAGAATCGGAGATCAGTAATGGCCAACTCTGTCCCGTTAAAGCAAATTTTTCAGGTTAAAAAAAAAAAAAAGAAGAAGGGAAGCTCACACCAATATAGGAGTCACACAAAAATAAGTTTTGTTTTTTGTGTAAAACTAATTCTGCCATTGCTGAACCAAGGTAAAACCTCCAACATTTCAGCCAATACGCTACATAGAGACTACTCAAAGTTGGTCTACTTAACACCATAGACAACCATTCAACATGGTCAAAAGGTGAGATTATTATATTATTCTGGACACAGATTTTAAATACCCAAATGCAAAGTTTGGAGTCCCAAACTTTGTTGGATTTTGGAAGCAGTTCTTATCCCCAATGACCTTGATAAAATACATTAAACTAGATATACGCTCTACAAGGATCATGGAAATACTGGCAATTTCCTACAGTAGTTCAGCATTTATAAATAAAAAATAAAAAAAAGGTACATATAGATCATTCATAAGCAATCTTATACTGTCCCAAACATGCATTACGCCACTTCTATTTTATAGTTGGGTATAGATTGTGCTGCAAACTGCGTGGTCGTAGAATCGCATTTCCTCCGGAAAACAGTTATTTAGCTATACCTTACAGATGGAGACAATACATAGTTTATTACATTTTGCTTTTTTTTCCCCCCCACCTCGAGGTCCCTTTCTAAATCAATTTTACACATTGGACCACAGGTAAGGTCCAACATATATAAAGAAACTGTTTGCAGCATAGACAACATCTCATGGCTATCAAATTCTAAAATCAGAACTCTCCTTCAACATTCAAGATAAAGCATTATAAAAGACCAGTAAGAAGACATAAAAAAAATGCCTAAACGACACAGCATCCAGTATTCCGGTATCAAAATACTATCTTCTGATGCTATACAACCAAAAGCCATCAAAATAAACCCCCAATGATAACATATACATAACCGAAATCTTTCCTTTCTGTCACTCTCAACCATAAATTATCTAAACCCACCAAGTAGATAAAATAACACAAGGGTGGGTATTTATTTTTGTGCGCAACTAACACAAACTAGCTACAGCCATAAACACAGGTTTGCTTTAACGGGTAACAAAAGAACATGCAGCCTGCAAGGATGCTTTATTGTACTTGTCAGACTTAGGCTAATAGTGAGAATTGAGGTTTGTGAAACAAAAGCGTAAAGTCCTTACATTAAGCCTATTGTTGTATCTTCACCTAAGAAAAAGGGGTCTACCTCCCGTGTGCATTATATAATCACACAGGACAGCTCCCCAACTCCATGCTCTGTAATACAATATACACCATGGACACCCTCTGATTTGTCAGGGATGCACTCTGAACATTTAAGGGTTAAAGAGAAGACATTACCAAGTGTATGTTGTTCTGAAAACTTCCTGAACAATAAAACCCGACAATATACATTACTTATAAGGATGTTTAACTCTTCCATATCTAAATATTTTTCTATACGCAACTGTATTACTAAAGACATGCACTGTTTAAAAACACCTAAAAAGGGACAAGGAGAATAAAAGGCTTCACAGCTTCATTTCCCATCAATAGATTAACTCAGTAGCTATTGCCTGGATTTAAATTGGCAATAGCACTGAGTTTCAAGAAAAAGTTGAACTAGATATGACAGACAAACACATCAGCTAATGCAATACCACAGCACTAACCAAACAACTCAGTTGCTGACTTGAGTTAATAGCCATTTTCTTTCCGTAGAAGGACAGACATAACAAATGTATTATTAAGGTCAGCAAAATATAAAAACCTGTGTGATCTTTAGGAGCAAGGCAAGATGTGCATCCTTTGCCATTACAACACCAAGTCTTCTGTTGGCTACCCGGCTCCTATTGCCAGGACGGTTTTAAATACAGTGCCTTCTACGAGTAGCAGAACTTGCTAGAGGTAAAACATAGCACAGCGCCCCCTTATGACAGCAAGAGAAATGACAGGTCTGGTTCAGTGGTGACTCCAATATTGGGCTCTGTACATTGCAGAAGCTCCAAAACTGAAATCTTCAAACCTGAGCACTAACCAGCTTGGCTGCAACATAACTAAAACAAAAACTGCCAAAATTAAAACGTTTTTCTTGAAACGTTTGGCATACACAAGACCTGCCTACACTATGATTCCATACGTTTAACAGCATAAAAACTAACTGACGTATAGAAGTCTGTTAGCATGATCAGCTTTGATAGTCAACAGCCCAATCCAAACCTTAAAGACCAACATGCAACCGTATTCATTGCAAAGTTATGCACCAAGCAAGCTATTCAACTTGTCATCAATTCTAAGCAGCCATACTAACTGTGGCATTCACCTGCTGCTTATTTGATGAAAGCCTAAAGCTCTACAAAAATACATTCTTGGGGAGAAAAAAAAATGTGATTACTTTCTAGATTCCAGCTTTTAAAGTCAAGCCGCACATCAGGCAACAAAAGTCGAGTTATTTATGTTTGCAAGACAAGAAAGAAATAGTAATTCTTCAGCCTTATGTCCCCTTACTCCTAGATCAGCCAGGGAATTTATTGCATCTCAACTTAGCCAGCATTCCTACAGGTCATTTTTATTAAACAAAAACTACATCACCCCCCTACAGGCTGCTGGAGACATCTAGGATAGAGTAAAACAACACATATATCAATAATGGCAACAAAACTCAAGTCAGGATAAAAGGGTTAAGAAAACAGATCCCCACAATAGCGGCTAGTCCTATTGTGTGGGCTAACGCAGGAATGTTTTTGTCTGTTGCAAAGTAGAAGCCAGTTATACAGTGTGAGGGTCACAGGGATAAAAAACAGACCTGTACAAAGCCACAAATAAACCTTCGCTCTTCTCTGTGATGTCACTCAAGGAAAAACAAAAAGCAAATAATTCATCTGGCACTTTAAAAAAAAAATACCTTGACATGGCTTTAAAAGTAAACACCTGCATTGCTTATCCATCAGTGTATGAGATAATACAAGGTAATTGATCACCGATTGTAAAAAGAAGCTGTCTGCAGTGCCAGCTTTAAAACAGCATGAAGAGGGGAGAAGGGGAAAAAAAGAAACAGTGTTACACATAATTTATGAAGTGTTAAAATATGGGCTACAGTTCAGTTCCATCCATAAATGAATTCTATTTCTGCTATCTTATTATTCTATACTTCAAATACTATGATGAAGCTACCAAAGCATTAGAGCTTCCACCTTCCAAAAATAAGATACCAGGATAATACAACTCTGCTGAGAAACTGATTTTTTTTTAAACTTGAAACAGTTTGTTTTTCTTTAACTAAGGGGGGAAGACACCCATTGACAGGGCTTCTTTTGACGACTTGCAAGGGTTAGTCAACTATTACATGTCCTTTATCAGTTGTGTATTGCCATGGCTCAGCTCCCTTTAAATCCTAGTTTTGGGAAAATCATACATGTTGATTCCACACACACACAAAAAAAAGAAGAAGAAGAAACATCAATGTTAGCAGTCAGCATTAATGACACAGAGATTAGAGGACTGGGTGGTTAACCCTTCAATGCCAAGGAAGGCAAGACAAAAAGAGACAGGACGACACTGGTCCAGAATCAAAAACTTACAAATCTGTTAACATTAAACCAGAAGAAAAAAAAAAAAAAAGTAAATCCTGCGCTGTCACATAAGCTGCTTCTACTTCACACACAACAGTGGCTCAGAATGCTTTTTTTTCAGACCTGTCTGGCTACAACAAGAAATGAATATTTGAATATTAAGTAGCTCCAGCATCCACAGCTAAAATCTAAGCCTGCTGCTGGCTTGCTGGTCAACTTGCACAAATACAAGAGACAGCTTCTGAACAAGTAGAAAGCAACATTAAAAAAAATAGATCACACAGCTCAGAACTAAAACTGATCTCTGGAGCCAGAGAAATGATCTGGGCAATGGAAATAAAAAAATAGGTAATCAAAGCCTATAATGAGTTGATTAACAACAACAACAAAATAACCAAATGGGGCTTAGTAATACAGTGAAATAGAAGTGATGGAAAGTGGAAGATATAGGCAAAAAAAAACCCACTGAGGAACAAAGGCTCAAATGAATCACCAGACAAGAATAGGCTAAAATTCAACAGATGAATACAAAAGACAGACAGGGGAGGGAATGGACTATATTGATGGCACGATCTTCTACAGATCAAGTACTATTTTCCATACAAGTGCAGTTGTTGGGTACTGTTTCCCTATGGCTGCCCCCCTCATATGTTTTTTAGCCCTGTCTACATATTTTCCACTTTTGTGTTTGGCAGACATAAACAAGTCATAATTATGCATGCCACATTTCACTGCCCCCCTCCAATGGTAGAGCAGGCAGGAGGAATGGAAATGGGAGCCCAGCGTCTGGATGCGCAGGGAGAACAGTGGCCAGACTGCTGCTCATATGCATTGGAATATCTCACATTTATCTGCCAAACAATGGATCATCACACATTAGTATTCCGAGCCCATACCTAAGCCGAGAACGCCACTCACCTGCATTAATCAACCATAATATTCGCCATACTATGCCTATGAATGAAGGGATGCACGGTGCATGCTGAGCAGGAGGGGGATGCTTAGCGGGTAACGATCGTTATTAAGCGGAGCCGGTGCTATACAGGAATCCGTATGCTGAAGTTAAGCAGACAGGCGCTGTCTGGTCGATGGTAAGTTTTGCTCATGCAAAGTGCTGGGGAGAAGCGATCTGTCTCCCGATCAAGTTGCTGCGCGATCGTCCATTAACTTTGTGCCGGTGACACCTGGAGGCTTCCCATGAATGAACCTCGCCATGATATCGGGGGTGTCACACGCTGACGATCAGGGGGTGCACCCCCTCCGTCCTCCCGCAGCTCACACAAAAGCCAATCACTGCCCAACAATGTGAAGTTGCTGGAAGCAAAGCACTTTTTTTTTAAATTATTTCTAATGTCGGTTTGTGGGGTGTCCGCACTCACCTGTGATGGGGTGCTGTGTTCCCCGTCCCTCTCCGCAGGCATGTAGGTGAGTGGAGATGGTGCTGTTAAAGCAGCAGCCTGATCCAGCAGTTCGCAGTGCCCGCTCTCATGCTCACTAACTCCTCTGTCCTTTAAGGTTAGCAAATCAACACAGTCGGTGACGTCAGGCCCGGCTCCTGGAACACATGCCTCTCTCCCTCCCTCCCATGCTGGATCGGCCCTGCCGCCATGTTTAGTGCTGGCAGGAGCGGAGCTGTTCGGGTCCCGTTAGTTCTGGAGGGAGCGGGTGGCTGGTGCCGTGCAGGTGGGTAGGGGGCGGGTCCGTGCGGTGGTGGGAGGAGTCAGGAGTTGTGCGGACGCTGTAGCTGGGCTGCTTCTCATGTCATGCACCTGTCATTAAGGTGCGGGCGCTGGACCTGGGGCATTTAAAGTATATGAAACCCCCAAACCATGCACTCTTCTTATTGACTTCCTTTTGGTGTGATTGATATTTCATTGGAAACATTTTATTTTCAAAACTCATCTGTTTGATGAGTTTTGAAAAATTAAACCTGTTGATCTTGTCAGAAGTTCAGCCTCCACTCACGTATAGCATTTGCGTTTCCCGCGCGGTTTTCCGTGCGGAAGATCAAACCGCACGCAAACACTAAAATCGTTACAACTTCATGGATTCCGCTTGTTTGCGGCTATTACTATAGCAGCAAACGTGCGGAATCCACCATAAAATCGTACTTGTATTATTTAGCAGGAAGCGTGGCATGAAACACGGTACGCGCCGCCACAAATGTCTGAACAATGCACATTAAAGTGCATTGTTTTTTATGTTTAGAGCGGATCAGCGTGTATACATAAAGCCGAACACACGCGAACAACTCCTGTGTAAATGGAGCCTAAGGCTAGGTTCAGATATCGGCGATCCCAGGAGGTGCGATCGTGCACGATTGCACACAGCGATTTGCCGCACGGCCTTCTTGAATTCAATGGGGTTCTCTCTAAGCAGCAATCGCTGAAAAAAAGGTACCTCGTGTTTTGAACCGCGATCGTACACGTTTGCACATGCGGTTTCACGGCGTGAAAGCGCACAATTTGGCGCCATTAGAAAATAATTGCGCGATCGACGGTGGTGTGCGATTCTGTGACCGCACAGCCACCCGCGCGGTTTCATGCAAGATTGCTGCACGGTCACGGATCGCCTTAATGTGAACCTAGACTCAGAGCTGTTCTGTGTCCCCTGCATGTCATCTGGATGATTCAATTAAAGAACTCCGGGCAGAAATGTGAGTGACCCTTGCAGTGGGGATACCTGGGATACCTCTGCACTGGAAGGGTTAACTGCTCGTTTTGTGCCTGGGATGAAAAAAAAAAAAGTTATACTCACCTGTTTCCGAGCCGGCTTGCACTTAGACCGGTCCCTGGAGTGTCTCCCCCCCCTCTGCTGCAGAAGTCTAGGAGTCCTCGAGTCATCACATCCAATACAATGTATTGGACATGAGGACGCTGAGGGATATGCCATTGCTGGAACGGAGGCTGAGGGGAAACAGGCTGGAGGGAGCACTCGCTGGTTCAGGTGAGTATGTTTTTTTTTTTTACCCTAGGCAAAAATGAGCAGATAACCCTTACGGTGCAGAGGTAGCCCCACTGCAAGGGTTAATACAAATTTTAGCCAGAGTTCTTCTTTAAAGTAGTATTAAACTCTCAATCTTTTTTTTCAGTAATGATCCCAGATCAGACATCTATACATTGCCCAGGAAAGTATTTCTTTACATTTTTGCCCCAAGCACTTACAGTCATCACGATTACCCAACAGCTCCAACTCTCTCAGTTCAGCTTCCTCAAACTTCCTGTCCAGTACCAGGGACAGAGCAGTCTCCAAACAAAGCACAAACCTTGAACCTTCTGGATTCACCACAACTCCAAAGTGTGTTGAATCTGAACTTCAATTCCTATCGATCTATAACAAGATGTATGATTATTCTGCATATACAGTATGTGGAATGTGGGAAAGCAGGGGAGGGGGAATTCTGCAGAATAGGTGGACTGTCCTGCCGTAACAGAGCCCATTGGCAGCTGTGGCACTGGTCTCATAGAGATGGTAAGGACTGGTGGTTATCTTCTTGGGCAAGCATTCCACCTGACGCAACAAATAGTGTGATGTTCCCTGCATGATGGGCCATTTTGTGGATCCTTGGAAGGTGGGAGGGGACATTAATGCTTAAAGTGACTCAGTAGATAAACCTCAAAAATGCATTTAAGTACCTAAACTATTAATAAAAATGTATTCTATTTGTGTATCACTCGGCTGTACATCCTCAAATCATCTCTGAATTGGTGCTGACACTGTCCTTCCTTCTGGAGGGTGGCTACTTTTGTTCCCCATGGTCATTGTGTGTGTTGTAAAGTAGTCACTGCTCCAAGCTCACTCCTGTGATAGACTTCAATCTCAATACAAATTAGTAATCTACATGTGACATTGTAGTCCATCACGGGAGTGAGCTTGGAGCGGTGACTACTTTACAACACACACAATGACCATGGGGAACAAAAGTAGCCACCCTCCAGAAGGAAGGACAGTGTCAGCACCAATTCAGAGATGATTGGAGGATCTACACCTGAGTGATAGACAAATAAGATACATTTTTGTTAATAGTTAATGTACTTGAATGCATTTTTCAGATTTAACTCCTGAGTTTAGTATAACTTTGAAAGGAGAACTATGGGGTTAAGGCTTTTCCCCATAGTTCTCCTTAGGGTAACGGGAGGACACAAACTAGCGTCCTCCCGTCACCGTAGGCTCAGTATACCGCGAGCTGTAGCTCGAGGTATATTGAGACGCCGCAGCGGAAGCGGATCCCGACAATTGTGCCGGGATCCGCCCAGCTGTGTGACTGACAGCTGGCTCTGCCCAGCTGCGTGACTGACATCTGGCTCTGCCTATCTAGAGGCAGAGCCAGCTGTACCCGCCCCCTCCCTCGTCCGTTCCGCCAGTCAGCGCTGGTGGATCGGAGCGGGGAATCCAGTCCCTCCCCTGTGAGAGCCGTGACAGGATCGATAGGTGAGCGAATGTCGGTATGTGTTCGCTCACCTCCCGATCTACTGAGCCGACCTGTGACAGTCTCATTGTCACAGGTCGGCTAGAACTATGAGGTGAGTGAAAATCACTCACCTCATAGTTCTCCTTTTAATGTAAGTCTTCAAAAAGGGAATGACTGTAGAATAGTAGTCAGGTAAGTCATTGTTGTATAGTGAACCTATAACATTAGAAAATATGATCGTTCAGAGTTACATTTGTTGCAATGATTCTAAGTTTGTTTCACAAATTGTTTGGACTAAAATGGCTGTTTGATCATCAGCCTATTATTATCCAAAAGCAACAGTCACTCATTGGAGAAATTCCAGCGAATCAATCTTATGATTACTAGATACATCTATCACTGGCATTAGCTGTGTGAGAGGTTTAGCAGTGATCGTATGCAGCTGTAGGAAAGTTTTGGACAGTTGTTGTGCTATTATCCTCATGAGGCTTAACAGAAAAACTAATTATGTCATCATGCTATGCCTTGTTTACTAACTGTGATGATATGCACAGTTGTACATGTTAAAACATAACTATGTCACCATTGTAACACGGTCACTTAACAGAACATTTTCATTAAAAATGACAGAAAAAAAAACATACGGTACTGTTTTGAATAGAGCTAGTTGGAGGATACAATGCGTCAGTGTTTATTTTGACTGTACATTTCTATTTAGTTTTAGTCTTTACGACTAAAATGCCATTTAGCTTTAGTCATATTTTAGTCATCGAAATTGTTTTAGTTTTAGTCTAGTTTTAGTCGACTAAGTATCATAAGATTTTAGTCGACTAAAGTTGGTCATACACCTATAGATTATCTGAAGATGTTCTATGGTCAGATGGAAAAAGTGCATCAGATTTCTCCATCTACGCTAAACTTTGTGGGTGGCGGAACCTCCCGCTGGACCAAGCTTCAGAATCTTGCTAGTCAGCCCAGCTGGCTCTCAAAATACCTGAACAGTGCCTGCATTTAATCAGCTTGTTCAGGTATTTTGACAGCCAGCTGTGCCGACTAGTAAGATACTGAAGCTTGGCCCAGCGGGAGATTCCTCCATCCACACAGTTTAGCGTAGATGGAGGAATCTGTTGCACTTTTTCCACCTGACCATAGAAAATCTGAAGATAATCTATAGGTGCATGGCCAGTTTCAATCTCCAGTAGATTTAGTCGACTAAAATCTAGTGGGTTTTGTTAAAGAGTAATTTAAGAATTGCTTTAGGATTTCCAATCTCATTATGTACTCCTGGAGTAAACATCTGTTAACCACTTGCCGTCCACCCGTTGTAAAAAAACGGACGGACGGCAGTGGCAGCACTGGCGGGTTGCCGTCTCCAGACGGCATTTTTTTCTGCTCGCACGCGCCCCCTAGCGGGCATGCACGGGCAGAAAAGACCCGACCAATGCAAACACCCGTTACCGGGTGTTTCACATATAGACGATCAGCGGTTCCATACCCCGTTGATCGTCTATATGTGCTCGTTTTTTCGGCCTGCTTCATCAGCTTCTTTTTGGGTCCCCAGGTGACATTAGGGGTCCTAGAGACTCCTAATGTCTCCATAAAGAGGACCTGTCAGTGTGCCTTTGCCATTATATAGGGGGATTGTTATCCCCTTATATAATAGCAATAACAATAAGTGCAAAAAAATAAATATAAATAAATAAAAGTAGCATATAAAAAAGTAAAATAAAATAAAAGTCGAATATAAAAAAAGTGAAAAAACCCCAAAATGTTTAACTCCCCCACCCCCACGTTTACGCACCTATAAACGTAAATACGCGTCCGGTGCCCCAGCGCGCAAAAATTACAATTGCGCTACACATGTTACATATCGCCGCGAACGTCGCAGTGAGAGCAATCATTTTAGGGCCATCAATCACTGATAACACTAAACTGATGAGCGGTAACAGCTTTTAAAGCGTCGCCTATGGCCAATTTTGGGTATTATCGTTTTTTGAGGTTTCGCGCGCGCACGCAATTTTAAGGCTTGACATGTTTAGTGTCTTTTTACCCGACGTGACCCCATCTTTTATATTTTACCAAAAAATTGGGTAATAATAAATGTTTTATCATTTAATATAGGGGAAACTGTTTTTTTTTTTAAATTTCGGTAATTTTTCCTTAATATA